CTCTGAAAGTAACAATGTTCCTTCAGAACTATATGTACTTTCAATTATACAAAGTTAAGCTTGTTTGAAATGAATGTGTCACATGTAAAGCTTCACGGAGAGTGTAAACATGACTGAGCTATCTTGTACGGTTACAGAGATAACACAATGCTTAGGATATGGTAATACAACAAGCTGATAAATTAAAGAAGGACTTATCCAACTGTAATTAAGCTTTGGAGCATTCATCAGGATATGATATATCATAACATTTAACGATTAAACTTAACACAAGATAATAAGGCACATCTTCTGGTGCTGTGTCTTATTGTTCATTGATGAGTTCAGTTCTTGCATGCCACAGGAAATGGGGGGGTCAGCAGAGCAATACGTTAAGCCCAGGGCACTTCATTGCGCCTGGCCATCTGGACCATTTATTAAGGTCTGAGTGGTCTTGAATGTTTTTCTTTGTCTTCCCCCAAAACTCATGTGTATTAGATCCTTTGAGGCTCGACGTAAGAGTGATAAGGAAATTCCCAATGGGCTGTGCTTCCTCACTCCTCCGAGTCTGCAGAGTTGATTTACATGATCCTGTGACTTTCAGGACAGTTATGTCTTTTATGGCATGTGACCTGGGGTTCACATGAAGTTCTTTGAATCCTTTTGAGCATCTGTGTCTGTCCATATCCTACACCATAGAGTACAAGGAAGTTTCTGTGGAGCTCTGTCATAAAACAGTAATGAAGTGTTGATTAAGGTGTGGGTATAAAACTATTTTTGAAACTTTGTGTGTTTCCAGTAGCACCGTGGCTCAGTAACTGTAAAAGTTTAAGAAGTTTGAAACCACCAGGAGTGTTTATAGAGCGCTTTTCAAAATAAGTACCTGCACAAGAAGATCTTTGGTCAGGAGACTGGGAGAAACGGGGAGGCTGGTCACAATTAGGGAAAAATAAATACAGACCAATATAGGGACGTCCAGATTGCAGTGTTCTTGGACTGGGCCGATAGTTTCAGCATAACAATGAGCTGAAACACACAGCATACAGCTTTACCACTGCATCATCTTCAAGTTTGGTCAAATTTTTTAATTGGATTACTTTCAATATCGCTATTATTGAGTTATTTGTTAAGATTCTGGACTAAATTATATTAGCAGGTATTTTATGTCCTTCCCTGGACCATTTTTATTCCCTGTCCAGTCTTGGTGGTAGATTGTATTTTGAGGAAATAAAAATGCCTTTTTTGTCTGTCACTCCACCCACCCACCCTGCTTGCTTTAATTATTCCTTTGATGTGTCTGGAACCTGACTGGTCCTGGACATACTGTAGAATGGCACCTTGTGTATATAAGATCCGACAATTCACATTAAATACAAGAGGAAAAAAACAAGCCATAAAGTCCAAGCAAGTCTATGTAAACCTCTGGTGCAGTGTTACATATATACATGTGT